GGGGCGATGGTGGGGGGGGGAGGAGGGGAACGAGGGTGTCTGGCAGAGCAGGTGGCGGCCACACGGACAGAGAGGCATCAGGCGGCCGAGTGTTGGGGAGAGGGCCGTGGGCGGTGGCTGCCGGGCCCCGGGGTGAGGAGACAGGGAGACGGGGTCCCCCGGGGGGCAGGGGCCAACCCCTCCCTGACCTTCCCGACCCCCAGATTGTGGCCCAGAAGAAGGTGACCCGACCTCTGCTGCTGAAGTTCGGCCGGAACGCGGGCAAGTCCACCATCACGGTGAGGCCGCCCCTTCCTGCCCGGCCGCCCTTCAGACCTGTGCCCGCCCTCGCCGTGACTCTGCCCTCACCTGGCTCTGAGGGTCCTGCGGGGAAGATGAGAGCGAGGCCGGGGCCGGGGCTGCACTGCGGACTGGGTGGGGGGCTGGGTAGTCCTCTGAGCGGCCGCAGTCGGTCGGGAAGGGGGGCGACCGCGTCTGCCCAGCCAGCGCAGCTGTGGCCTCGCCCGCAGGTGGTAGCTGAGGACATCTCCACCAACAACGGGTACGTCGAGCTCTCCTTCCGGGCCCAGAAGCTGGACGACAAGGTGAGTGGGGGGCCCACCTGGGGCTGGGCTGCAGGGGTGAGGGGACCCCAGCCTCCGCCCCTCGGGTGAGGCCCAGGACAGACGGGCCTCGCGGACACAGGGACGGGTCCCCTGAGCAGCCCCCGGGTTCCCGGGAGCAGGTGGTGTTGGCTGGAGGTGGGCAGCGAGGCCAGAGTCACAGCCAGGCTGCTGGGGGCCGGCAGGGCTCTAGAGCAGAGGTTCCCGCGTGGGGCACACGCCCTCAGGGGGCAGTTTGATGTTTAAGGGGGACAATTTGAGAATGAGTTATTCACAGTGAATGTTTTGCATTTCCTGTGGTTCTAGGGGCCTCCTAGCCAGGCTATAAATACATGTTGTGACATGTTTACGCATTTCAGTTCTCGATTATGTTTTGAAACTTTATTTGCTATTTTTTCCTATCGCTTCGTATGATTATTTTTTAACAGTTTCTTAGTCATTTCCTCCTCAGAACGTCCACTGTCCTTTCGTTCTTTGATTTCGCTCTTTCGTGGCTGCCGTGTTCTTTGGAAGCTTCGTTAGACCGAGTTAGTGACCAGGAGTTCCCTTTTCGTATAAGAATTCCATGTCGGGGGGGGGGGGCTGAGGGGAGGGATGTTAGATGCTGAGGTGGGGTGTGGCCAGAACAAGGCTGGGAACTGCTGCTCAGAGGGCAGGAAGGCCGTGGGCACCGGGCATCGGGCACACTCCCGGACGGGCTGTGCCCTCCTCGGAGGCTGAGGAGACAGAGGCAGAGAGGGCTGGGCTGGCACCTCGCCCTGCTACCCCCAGGACGTCTTCAGCAAGTCGGACCCCTTCCTGGAGCTGTACCGGGTCAACGACGACCAGAGCAAGCAGCTGGTGTACCGGACGGAGGTGAGGGCCCTGGCCCCGCGGCCTGCCCGCCGCGCCCAGGACCCTGCAGTCCCGCAGGCCCGTGAAAGGACGGGGGTGAAAGGACAGCTGACCCGTCACTCCCTGCGTCCCCCGAACCCCAGCACCCTCCATCGCCTGTGAACAGGGCCTGGCGGGTGGGGTGAGCCGGTGAGAGGATGTAGGGGCTGCTCTGCTGTCAGGCCCGGCAGGGACCGCGTGAGGGGCATTTTCTTTCTAGATAAATCAATTGCAGCTTTTTTAAGTTATTGGTTTCAGAGAGGACGGGAGAGGGAGAGAGAGAGAGAGAGAGAAACATCCATGATGAGAGAGAATCATGGACCAGCTGCCTCCTGCACATCCCCACGCTGGGATCAAGCCCACACCCTGGCCTGTGCCCTGACGGGAATGGAACCCTGACCTCCTGGGTCATAGGTCGGTGCTCACCCCCTGAGCCGCCGGCCGGGCTATTCCAGCTTCTAGAATAGTCTGTTCAGGAGGAGGAGCAGGTGGCCCAGGGACCTGGCGGAGGTGATGGAGGTGTTTCCCAACGGGCTGGGGTCCCAGGCTCCGCCCCGGCCTGAGGCCCGCCCCCTCCCCGCCCAGGTGGTGAAGGACAACCTGAGCCCCGTGTGGGAGCCCTTCAGGGTGTCGCTGAGCTCCCTGTGCAGCTGCGAGGAGGCCCGGCCGCTGAAGGT